GACTGTGCGGATCAGTTATCCCTGCGGGGAGAGATATTTCTTTTAAAACCGATAAATTCGTGACATCTGACCAACATGGAGTGGGTGGACGAGTAAAAATAAGTCATTTATAGAGTCGGAAATGTCTTATAAAATTGTTGACGTCCTGAATCATTGATGTTGCGATAAAATTTTGAAAGAAATTTATTAGTCAAGATTTTCATTAAAAAATAGTAATCAAAAATATCGATTTATCAATATGATTGTTTACTTTAGATATATATAATTATTTGTCAAATAAAATAATATATCTCGATGACCGCATAAAATAGCAAAATTATAAAATATTCAAGTAGATTTTGAGAATAGATCGTTTAACGTATATTTTATCCTTTATAACAGGCGTTTACATTTCCCATTATTGTACGTTGCATTTAGTCGTACTTCATGTTCCCCTTGTTGTACAGCTTGCAAAAGGTGCCACGTTGATTGATAAATTACTAGTCTTACGGAAATAAAAGGGCCAAAAAGCAAAAAGCTGTTTTTGTTCGGTAATCTATCCGAGTAATGCATCACGCAGTCTTCACCTGTCATTAATTGCGTCCGTTCTCTTCATAGACATACAATGAATGGCTCGGTTCGGCCATTTAACGAGATCATTTCAGCTAATTCGCAAGTTATCAATCAATAGAATCGCATTCAGGAATATAAATATCGTGCAGGTATTAGACGCAGTAATTCAGTTTTATCCGAATCTCCTCTCGCGGAATCTGTGAGTGATAATCGCGGAGTAGTCTCCAAATCATAAGAATGGAAACAAAACGACGCACGCTAATTGCTCCTATCTATCATTTGCTTCTAACTTCATTAGCATTACGCTCTAACAATAAGCCAACTTCTAAGGGGCGTTACAATATCCGCGAGTATTACAATCCCGGGCACGCCCGCACGTCGATTGATCCTCGCCGTCGTCCCCAACGCTGCGAGTCGACCGATTCCGTGCGCGGGTATACAAAACGCACACGTAGGTCCCGATCCTCATTATCTCTGCCCTTCTTGGCAACGGTCTACACCGAAGGAGGAGGGTAGCCCCCAGCCCTTATACGATCGCTTCGGGAATTCTTCGATCTGACGGTCGTTACATCATTTCCGTTACGTTTGGTCGTCCTTTCGCCGGTTCCTACCCGGCGAGTCTGACAGAGTCGTATATGCCTTTCCTCCCGGGTCTCCCCCGCGACAGCCTCCCCCTCGCCACTCGGTTCGCGCGACACCCAGACAGACTCTCCGGTCACGTACAATATATATACCCAGAAGCGTTCTATACGTGGTGATCGTCCCTGACGGTGTATAGACCGGCGCGACGGCGGCGGCGACGGCGGCGGTAGTAGGCCCGGCTGCGCGGACGACCAATCGCGCCGCACGACTAGTGGGGATGCCGGTAGGTGCGTCGCGACGGCGGGGGGTGAGAGGGTTCGCCACCGCCACCACCGCCGTCACCGCCGCCGCCGACGCAGGGGGCCGCAGCGCCGCGAGTTCTCCCGTCAGAGAGCCGGCAGCCCGCAACGCGAGTGTTGCTGCCGAGCTTCGATAATCCGAGAGGCCGCAACAAGCACTGTGAGAATCGTCGCCGTCGCTCTCGCTCTCGCCGCCGTCGACGACAGCAGGGAGCGGAGCCCCCTATCCCCCCCGTCGAGGAGAGGAGAGGAGAGGAGAATTTCGCGTCCGTACGTTCCATTCGACGTGCACTTCGACGGAGAGGCTTCGGCATCGGACAACGTAACGTCGTTCGCCGGTCGGAGGCCGTCCGTCGATCTCTCTACGCCGGTCTCCGCGTAGTTCTCTATCTCCCGGTCCCCTCCTCTCGCTCGCTCGGTCTCTCGCTCGCCCGTCCGCTCGCAACCCCCGTCGTCTCCGGGACGCCCCGGTGGCCCCGGTGTTGTAGCACCGCCGTGCTCGATACACAGAGACACGTATAACGTTAAACGTACGTCACTGTGCTTCACACGAGTTCTATCATTCCTCTGCTCTTTACCTGTGATTGTCTCTTTCCCTTTCCCATTTTTATCCTACTTTTTCTCTACGTTTTTGCCCTCCCTTCCTCCCCCCCCGCTCGCTTTAATCTCACCCGTTCTCAATCGCTCCGATCTCTGCGTCTGGTACAGTACTTTTCGCGGTACGCGAAGGGAGCAAGAGAGGTGTGCCCCGCTCCATCTCCATCGTCGGGGTCTCGAGAAAGCGGACGAAGGGACAAGAAACCTGGAGACGGACAGTCTCCGACGTACGCGCGGCTCCCCTTTCCTCCGAGGGACATCCCGTTAGTCACGGGCGACGTCATCGTTCGACCATTATCGCGGCGGTAACGGCCATCCAGGATACTTGCGGAACCTGGAACCCCGGGCATCGAGGCTACCTCGGTTCGTGGTACCCAGGAATATTGCTGGGGAGGAGTATAACGAGTAACCAGGTGAGTGCGCTACTACTACTGGAAACTTGGTCGAAGGCTCGAGGGACTCTCGGACCGATCGAAATCCGCTACGTGTCGGCGACCCACCGTTTAACCGGGTCACGGCGGCGACGACGGACAGACGGACGGACGGACGGACGAACGGACGAATGGATGGACAGACGGACGTACGGACGAACGAACGATAGCCCTGTATGTATAAACGCTGATGAAATTTGTGCTAACGATTTCCACGCTTGCCATATGACCGTATGGATTTTATCGGTCGGCACACCGCCCGCCGCCACTGCCGCCGCCGCCGTCGTCGCCTGCACCGCCGGGCGCCTCGCGAGAGGGGGCGATCTAGCTGTTACTAAGGGGTTGCACTGCAGTGCACGGTACGTGGTGGGGTGGTCCCGTCCCGAAAGTTTTACTGGGATATCGTAAAATCTCCTTCACCGGTCGTTTTCGTTACCTCCGGTACTGGAGTATCGTAACTCGAGCTTCCCGAGCGTTTCGTTTAGAGACAAGCAAACAGAGAGATGGAGACCTTGTCGAGAGTGCTATCCACTATAGTGTCGTAACAATGGACACCGGTGTCATCCCCTCGTGACCGGACGTTTCGCGCGGATCGATCGGCGACACGGTTGCGTTAGATTTTCGGCTGATCCCCTCGTTGACTCCAGTCGAATTTGGATCAATGATCTAAGGTCTATGCGGGGCACCCGGCATCGTGGCCGTCCTGCGCATTGCGCCCGGCAGGATGTAGTAGCGCCGTACGGAGGGCTCGTGTAAATCCTGCGCAATGCCGGCTTCGCCGACGTGCGTGCGTGCGGTGCGATCACGGCGCCGACTCGTCGAGGAGGCCAGCAATCTCCTCGCCGGGATCGCTCCCCGACGATCCCGTCGCGATCGCAAAACGTTGGAAATTCCGCGAATGGACACCCGTCCGGAGCAAGTGGACTCGTGAGGCTTCTCAGACTTCCCCCTTCTCGGAAAATTGTTTTCCCTTTCGACGGAAAAAGCTTGGTCTCACGTAGGGTTTCGAGGCCGGAATCTCATCGACGTTCGGCTTAGTTAGCTGCAGAAAAGTGCGCAGGGCCGCCGGTGTGCAGCCTTCGCCTTGAGATCTTCGATCTTTCAGCGACCGGCTAGTAGCACTCGAATTCCACTCGAATTCTCGTACGTATAGATATTTCCCCGAATCCGAACGGCCCGACATACATTGCTACGAGAATTGTTATGCAGATATTACAGAAGAATCGACTATTCTCGAATCTCGTTGAGAAATAAACTCCGTTGAGAACTATTCTCGTCGGGAATTGTTTTCAAAAGTTTTCATTAACAATAATAAGCATCGTCTGAATTCCTCGGGATTGACTTAAGTGGAATCGGTGTCTTCTTCTCGAATTTGTATTTCGCGCAGGTTTATTTAAAACGAATGGGATCGCACGCAAATGAATTTCCCATTGTCTCGTCGCGACTTTCGCTCGGCAGAAGTTCCGCCGAGAGTTTTCAACGATTGATCGTCCGTCATAAAGTTCCCCCCGGTGCATACGCTCGCCGACCATAAAGCGGAGTATTAAAAGGGGGGTAATGTCGAGACTACTGCCGTCTCGTACGGAGAAGGAATTACGGCCGCGTATTTCGACGTAAGGAGCAGAAGCGCGAGGCGGGAGGGCAGAGCGGCGCTTTGTGTACCGCCAACCCCGTCGTTACGCTTCTCCACGAGACCCTTGCCACTTCTATTTCGGCCCCGAGTTTCCGTTTCGTCTCTCATCTTTCGTACGCGCTGCAGATGGAGGCATCCGTATATGAGCTCCGTTCGTTGGGCAGAACGGCGCGGCGCAGATAGATTTAACGAATAATCCGAGCGATAGTGGAACGTGAATCGTCCGGCTGGAGCTTTCGTTTCTTTGTCTTGGCTGACCGGGTTGGATGCGTTAATTGCAATTAGCACTATGCATGCAGTGTATTACTTGCACTAATAAAGAGTAGTGGCGGCCACGATAACGTTAAGCCGGCTTAACGCTTCGCCTTAACGGAATATGAAAAATCACTCTCACGAAGATATTCGAATCTCTTTCTAGTTTGTATTTTCTTTAACATGCGGAACTCATCGTGATAACGTAATTTCCTTTTCGCTTACGTTATGATCTTGGCTATTTAAAATTTAAAAGCCGAGTATATCGCGTCAGTGATTGAAGGCTTGATGGACCGGCGTCGTGAAAAGAAGATTGAGTAACGGCGCTTAAAAGACCGATTATATAGATTTAAATGAGAAAGTAACGACAGTCTATAAACGGCGGAATAACTTCTCGCTTATTAATCAGGCGATCAGCAGATAGTCGATAACCGAATATTATTACCCTTATCGAATGTTCACCGGTTCAATCGAAATTGTCATACCTGAATCAGATGATTAGTCTGATTAAAAAATTAAGTTTTAAAAAATTAATCACTGGCCATCAGAGGTGTATATTTAAGAGATATGTTTAACAAATAGCACGCAGAGAATTAATACAGAAAAAGGATGATTTCCCGAGGATCTCTTATGAATGCGATATAATTTACAGCAATGAGTACCACGGACCCTACCGGGGAGGGTGGAGGAGGGGGAGGAGGAGGAGGGGAGAGCGCCTCGACGACAAACGTCGAGCAGACCGCATCCCCGAGCACGCCGATCACCGGCATCGGCACCGCCGTGCCGGCGCAGCCGGCCGCTCAACAGCAACAGCAACAGCAACCGCAGCAACATCCGCCGCCGTCGCCTCTAAGCGGCTGCTACCTCCTCGTGGTGCTTCCTGAGCCTCATACCGCACAACACAAGGACCTCATCCTAAACCGCCTTGCGAAAGGTGAGAGCTTATGTCGCTTGGTTTCGTGCGATCGTAATTCGACAGAGTTTCGCAACCTTAATACGCTTTGTGCCACGATCGTTCGTGTTTTCTAACAGAAAAAGACATGAGTTGCACATATATAAATTAAAATATGCGGGGACAAACAATGGAAAAGACCCCCTTATCTTTCTGCGTGCAAAAGGCGGCGAGAGTTTCACCTTCGGGCTACGCGTTATCAGTCCAACGGCACGCATTAATACACATACGAGTATATGCGTACGACTACAGCTGATACACGTGTTTATTGCCGTAATTATTGTATCCCTGTGAGAATATCGGGGGATTTAACCACGTATCGAATAGAAAATCGTTCGTATTACCGACACGAATGGCATGCTGAGCTTGGTTGAGAGTGCACTTTGCGATTGCCGCAGCGGTTCGCGGTCGTAATCTTCTTCCGTTTCGGCGATCCGTATCGCGACGTCGTCGCATTTCCGGATTAAGATCGCGCGTATCCGTCGCATTGCTTGCTTCCTGGACGCGTGTGTACGACTATGTCTGTCTAACGGTCTCTCGTCCTCCTCCGGATTATATTCCTTCCGAGTTATCGGACAGGCTCAACGGACGGACGGTTGCTAGGCGGATGGTAAAATGAACACACACACGTATTCTCTCTCTTTCTCTCTTATTTTCTTTATGCTTCTATTTTCTCTCTCTCTCTTTCTCTATCTCTCTTTCTCTTTCCCATTAGAAGAAAATCGATGTCGTGCGCAACTCATTTATACCTAATCGTCAACCCATTAAATGCTCGATATCGAGTCGCGATGATTCCTCCGCGTTCATACGTACGTTTTTCACCGCAGGCGCGGTGAAAATGCATGAATGAGAGCTGGCGGCGCCGGTAAAGCTTCTCTCAATCGCGCAAGAAAGGAACGCGCCTGTAAGTGGCACTGTGATATTAATTGGCTTTTATGGCGGACATTCGCTTGCGAATTACCGTAATCATATGGCAACAATGCACGATCGATATACGGTGGAATTTCGTTTCCTTACACTCGCACAAAACGCACGAACCGGATATATTTTACGTCATGCATTCTTATAAAAATGCGTATAAATAATCTACGTAATCTTGAGAAAAAAACGTTTACTTAAAAAAATGTCCTTAAATTAATATATCGCTAAATCTAAAGCAAAAATTATAATGTAAATTTTACAGTAACAATTTTTTAAGAGTATCGGAAATAGAGAAGGAATAAACTATGCAATTTATATCGCTTCACTATTATCATTATCGTCACGAAATTGTCGTTACAATAGCTATATACATATACGAATATGTGCTTGGGATTCATATTTAGCGAGCGCGAACGTGAGCCACATATTTAATTAGAAGCAATAAAAAGGTAGCATAAAAGGATCAATAAAAAGAAATATATCTATATATGCCATGTTCTTTCTATGAAGATGAGCGTAGGACGTCCCGGAATTTCAATGAAAATATAGAGACATTTCAAATTGATCGAAGGATCGATTAATAAATGATTCATGTCGACATATAGTATACCTAAGTCTTTTATCACATACCGTTAATTTGTTAATTTTCTTTAGTTCTTCGGAATATTCCATTTGTATTTCTACTTATGCACGTTTTTAATGCGCTGACATAACACACGTTCTCCGCGGCTGAGATAACGGAGTTCCGTAATATATTGCTTCTGCGGAGTGAAGACAAAATTAATATATCAACATGTGTTTTTTTAAAAGGAAGGGGAAAGAGAGAGAGAGAGGGAGGGAGGGGAAGGGCCGACGCACGAAGTCCGTGTTTTCCGCATTGCGCCAGCGACGATTTTTAATGGCGCGCGCTCGTTGACTTCTCGTTTAACGTTTATCTGACGATTTTTCAATCCTTTTGCGCGCAAATTCTATGGCTCTGCCTCACCGCCGGTCGTTTGCATTTGCGACGATGATTTCGCGAAATGCCGCCCGATAATAGCACCGTCGTGTGCGTACACACGTACGTGTGCGCCGTAGCTTTGCCGTTATTAGCGAACCATATTCATGCAGCGTACATGGAATTTATCCTGCGATTAAATATTACATACTCCGATTATGTATTGAAGTGTTTCCATTATGTGAACGTTAAAGTGCGCGCGCGCGCGCGCTTATACCGTTACTCCGTAAATATAACGAGCGCAAAAACTGTTGGAATTTCATTTTCGAGACTCGCATTATAACCAGACTTATTCAATCTATTTTTTTAAAATTAATTATAAAATTATAAAATTCTTAAATTATTCCTGTGATAACGATCATGATCGTCACACATGGGTGACTCCCCTCCCACATTTAGAAACATCTACCGCCGTTCTTTTCTTCCCCACATTTTTCCAATTTCTTCATGTTTCGAAAAAGTCGGCACACAGATCTTCAGGATTACTCTTGTGCAGTCGCGGACAATCATCAAGATTCGCTTTACTTCAGAAGACTTACACCGGAAAATAGCCGCGCAAAAACGTTCACCGCACTTCGAGCTTCGGGAGCACGGCTTGCTCTTTTCTTCGTGCAAGAAGTGCAGCAGCTTTTCTCGGTTTCGTTTCTCTCCGCGTGGACCTCCTCTCCTTCCTTCGCGTAAATTTAGCGGTAGATTTCGAGCCTGCGAGACATTTGCCGCGCCATTTGCCGCATGTTGCGGTTGCTCGCGGCTTCGCCGAGTCCTTAAATACACTCAAAAACGCGCGCGCGCGCGCGTGCACGCTTTTACGAATCCTTCGGTTTGAGCTCGTTGAGCCCTCGTCACGCGAGCATATTTCTAATTTGTTTTTCTTACTACCTACGCTTATCCATTACCTGTTTTCTCGCTCTCCAGAGCGAAATTCTAATTGCACGTCAAGGAGCTTTTCAAACGCGAAGGCAAATACGAATTTACGCAAGATCGAACTTTTATCTTTACGGATTTGTACCGCTTGCCGAAACGAAGCTAACAACTCGGAGTAACACACCGTAAAAACGGGGCTTTCGCAATCGCTAGCGCTTTAACGACATCCTGATGGGTTGCTCCGTTTCTTCGCAAAGGCCGAAGGTTCCCCTGAGGATCCTCTTCACTTTCGAAGAAGAAATTTCGTACGCCCCGCCGGCGAGCCTTTCAAAGGTAAATTGCAATCGCTTTTGCGCGCTCTGCACAAAGTTCGCGGATCGCAGGCATATATCGCCGAATACGTAGTACGTACGATATTAGAGCTCGCGGAGGGGAACGGCGTGGCTTTTTGAAAGGGATATTTTCCGGCCCGGTATTATCCTTTGCGCGATGCATATTCCATTTAGTCCTGGCCGCCATTGAGCGCGGAATCCCTACGTCCACGTGCTGTGCATGCGGAAATAATAATAGCAATTTATTTTCAACGGACAAACGGTTCGCCTTTCTGAAAGGGCTCGTCCGATGATCCCGGTGTGCTCGTATAAAAAGTTTTATGAATGTGAATAGGAAGAAGCAACATGTTCTATGCAAATACTACATTCTCCTTTCCATATCGTTCTCCGTTAATTAAATTCTATTAAATATCTCTTCGACTGCAGCGATTGTCAGGGGTTAAATGTAACATGTTTGCGCTGTATCTGCGCGTGTATAGATCTGCTGCATGTGCACCTGATATTTTTACTTTGTTGATAGCGTGATGCTACACACTCGTTCTATTTATAGTTGATAAATGGCCATGTTTACGGAGCTATCTATTGGAAACGTATCGATAGATTCTGACAAGTATATCTACAATAATCTTACCCTAGCACATTGTTGTGACTTAAAAGCTGTCACCGCATTTGATATAATATTTAGTCAAATTTTGTTTAAAACTATACATTTTCATGATAAAACAAATTTTTCTTAAACAAAAAGAATATTTTTAAAAACGTAGCTGCTCCTCTAGCCTAATAAAAGTTAGCATTGCGACATACGATACCAGCATATCATCTCTCTCAAAGGATTTTTCAATTTGTTGATTTCATTTAATTCCGAGAGAGACATTCTATGTGATTAAACGAGAGATGATCGCAATTTTTTATACGTATGTTGAATCATATATATACGTGAACAAAATATCTGTGTCTCTCTTAAAGTATTACATTCGCAGGATTTTCTCCATCGATCCTTGTTCATACGAGCGCGTAAAAATGTGCACACGTGTGCACACCACCTCGCGTTGTACGTCTATTCTCTGCTCGACGGATGGGGGGTTACAGGCCTTAAATGTCTGTTTGTATTTATAGAGCTACGACATGCATTTCGGGGAACCAGTACTTTCGCCGATCTTCGAGGACGATATGCGCCCCCTGATGTCGCGCTGCCTCTTAGTCAGTCTCTTTCTTCGCGAGTAGGAATCCGTTCTATGAACAAATCAAAAGACGCCACGGCGTTCCCTTATATTCTTTCTTATCGCTCCTCAGATCGGCATTAGTCATGGCGGACAGCAGAAATAGATATCAGGCTGTGCTCAAAATAAAGTGATGAGAACCGCACTTTTATTTTCCTTATTGAGACGGATTCAGTAATTAATGTACTTTTCTTATACAATACTAATATTTTTCGAAAAATTGTTGAAAAGGAAACCACACAAATATATCCATACGTTTTTTGACATCAGAAGTCATCCTACGCTTACGCGCAACTTTACTAAATTTTATAAATTATTTCGACAAAATTTAATCATATAGATATAATATTTAGTGAACAATGTATGTATTAGTGATTATTATCGCTAATCGTGATCTAAATATAGATTGCCTTGAATTTGTTGACACTGAAAATGAATAAGAACGTGTCCTCGGAGCCATTCACCATATCGTTGAAGGCGCTATGAACGCAATTTCTTTTAGCGATGGTTTTTTTTCTGGCTATTGATATATAGTTTTATATATAACCGCATTAACCTGGGAAACATCAATCACAAAAAATATATCTGTTATAACAAAGCAGCCGTGATGATTATGTAAATTAATAATAAATTTTCTTATATAAGCAT